ATAGGTGATGTTGTGCCCTCACTGTATCATATCAGAAGGAACATAACGGTCTGTCCCATTATAAAGTCTGATCACTTGTTTAAGGTGGTGGTCAGCACACATCTCCATTGTAAAGTATGTTAGTAAGTATCTGTGGGGATTTACTTTGAGGCTGTGAATATTTTGTTCCCCCAAAACCTTTCAACCATTGCTTTAATCATTCATTTCAATTAAAATATTTTCATTTAAAAAATTGTGTACTGTTTCAATCATACAAATAATATAATCAGTATAATAAACACTCAGCTGTCCACTCTACCCTCATGTCATACACCTAATTTTAACAAAACTTAAAATTACTCATATATTTGTTCCAGATCTTTTTTTTTTTTTTAAGAAATCCATAATAGATACGGTTGAGGCCTCTGTGAACTCCCTTATCCCACTCCCCTCAATCTCTCCCATAGATCACCATTGTCAAAAACTCATTGTTGATCTTTCTCATTCATGTTTTATACTTCCGCTACATATGTGTGTATTCATAAGCACTAAATAGTAATGTTTTGCAGGTTGTTAATCTTTATATGTGCCATCATACTGTATGGAGCAATTTGCAGGTTACTTTTTAAATTCAACATTGTGTTTTTGATAATTCCTTATGCTCATTTATTATAATTATGGAAAAGTTACAGTATCCCATTAGACAAATACTCTATGCACTCTACTGTTGGTGGATTGGTAGACATTTAAATTCCCAATATTTTGCAAATGGTGCTTCAATGATGATTATTACGTATGTCTCCTTGGATGAGATGTGACATGTAAGAGAATTCTCTGGATTATGTAACTAGAAGTAGAAATCCCAAATTAGAGATTAAGAGCCTTGCTTTCACTGGACATTGTGATATTTTTCTTAATGGTTGCACACTTGTCCTCTCACCTCGGGCAAGAAGTCCTGTTTGTCCACACCATTGATAACACTTCCGATTGTCATATCTTTTAATTTTTGCCCATCCAATGGGTATAAAATGGTATCTCAATTGATTTGCATATTTTGTGTATTATTAACTTTTTTTCTCCTTGTTTATAAGCTATATTTTTTCCCTATTGGATTGTCATTTTGTTTTTGATGTGTAGGAGATAATTATAAATTCAGAATGTCTTTAATTTTTTCAATTTTCTCTTTGCAGATACTCTCCCCCAGGCTTTTAGGTTATCTTTTCAACTTTTTTTTTTGATGTAGATGTTTTACATTTTAATGGGTTAAAGCTATCATCAATCTTTTCCTTGATGGCTTATGTTCTTTATGTTTTATCTAAAATTTTTCTCCAACCTGAGATAATAAAGATACTCTTCTATGTTTTCTTTTGACAGTTTAAAAATGTCACTTCCTCATTAGATCATTAATTTCTCTGGCATTGGTTTTTGTGAATGATACAATTTAATTTCACTTTTACTTTTATCCATATGGTTAATTTTCTTCTTCTTATTGATTGATTGATAATTATGTGTTTATTTTTGGCAGCTGGCTGGTACAGGGATTGAACCCTGGACCTTTGTGTTATCAGCACCACACTAACCAATTGAGCTAACTGGCCAGCCCTTTATGATTTATTGAATAGCCCATTCTTTCCCACTGTCTGTCATATGTCTCAAAAGATAGTATACCAACACATTGCTTCTTTCACTTATCTTGAAGATCTTTCTATATCAACACACGTAAAGCTATTTTCTCTCTCTCACACACACACATAGTATTTCAGTATATGTATATAGCATGATTTATTTTAACCAGTTACTGATTATTTCTATTCTTTTGCTATGATGAGTGTTTTTGAGCACTCATAATATCAGCAATTGCTAGGACAAAGAGTATGCTTACTTAAAATTCTGATAGCTTTGGCCAAATTGCCACCGTGGAAATTTTAACAATTTATATCCCCATGAGTACTATATAGCTATGCCTGTTTCTCCTTCCAATTCAGTGTGTTATCAAGCTTTTTGATTTTTGCCAATCTGGAGAAAAATGGTACCTCATTTTAGTATTCATTTATATTTCTTTTAGTATGAATTCCATTGAGTATATTTTTATATGTTTGAGCCATTTCCATTTCCTTTTCTATAAACTTGTTCATATCTTTTGATCATACTTTATTGGACTATTGGTCTCATTGATTTGTAGGAGCTCTTTACATATAAAGGAAATTAGCTCTTTTTCTCCTGTTTTGCAAAGGTGTTTTTCTTTTTTTGCTATATATTATTTTTCATTTTTATGTAGTCAGTGTTATCAATCCTGTATGGCTTCTGCATTTTGTATCACGTTGATCGTGTGAAAAACCTTCCATTCTCATTTGGAGATTATAAAATAATTTATCCCTTTTTTCCCCTAGCAATTTAAATATATATATATATTTAAACATATATATATATATATTTTGACCAGTAAGAGGATTGCAACCCTCAGCACCGTGTTGTCAGCACCATGCTCAGCCAGTGAGCGCACCGGCCATCCCCATATAGGATCCGAACCTGCGGCCTCAACGCTACCAGCGCCACACTCACGAGTGAGCCATGGGGCTGGCCCTGTTTTTGTTTTTCTTTGTTTTGTTTAAGATTTTATTTGTGTGTGAAGTTTTATTTATGTTATCTGTAAAAATTATTTGTGAAGTGTGAAGTAGGAACCCATCATTATTTTTTCCAGGTAATGAACCTAGCTAGTTAGTTCAATATCTTTTGCTGAATGATCCATCTTTTCTCCATTTAATGCTCAGAATCACTGGTATGGGATGGAAAAAAGTGGATTGATCAAGAATTAGAATTTTAGAAAGCAAGTATCACAGAAAGCCAATGGATAAAAGAATTGAGGCTAACGGTCCTTGATTACAGTGCTGGTCTCTTGGGTGTTAGACCAGATAGAAAAAGAGCGAAGCCAGAAGGGAGCTCACATGTAGCTTGTGAGGATATGGAATAGCTGAGAGATTGGAGAGCTGGCTAAGGTCAAAGAGTTGATAGGTGAGGAGGTGGAATTTGGGGGTATAATACTTCACAGGTGGAGCAAGTCTACGGGACCAAGTGTGGGTTATGAACATGGTAGTGAATCGCTGAAGTGGTGTGAAGATGAAGGTCACTGGAGCTAAAGAGTTCTGGAAAATACAAGTGTATATGGCCTTTGAAGTCACCCAAGATTTTAATAACTTGCAGGTGAAAGGAAGGCTATGAGTCAGATGCCAAAGCCTTCAGTGATGAAGGGACTGCAAGGAAATCATCAGCTTAAGACACTGAGAAGGGGTAAAGGGAAAACATGAATCTTAAAGATGTTTTTCTATGAGGATATTTAAGTAAGAATCTGAAAGTAGCAGAGGAAAGCAAGAGTCCTGCCTTGTGTTGCGGTTATTTGGAGAGAGTCTTAAAAGCTTTAGAGGAAAATCCAGCCTTATTTAATGCTTTATCTGTAAGGAGGGGATCAGGTCTTATGCAAGGAATTTCAATAAATATTGCATTCAGAGGGTGTGCCAGGCATTTGCTGGGCCCTGGGGATGGAGTCATGAACTGAATAATCGAAATCCTCACCAACACATAGCTCAGTCTGGCATCTTGCAGCTCGGAGTGTGGTCCACAGACCACCACCAGCGGCAGCACTTGGGAGCTTCACAGAAATGCAGAAAGCCAGGCCTCATGCCAGACATATTGAATCAGAATCCGCAGTTTAACAAGATGCCCAGGTGAATGGAATGCACATTACAGTTTGAGAAACGATGGGTAAAACTTGAATCTGGAGAGACTGGAAATTATGGTGTGTTGAAGTCATCTCCTAGTATCCTTTCCCCGTTGGTAGCCACTTCAGTTCAACGAGGCCCTGCGCCTTCTAGTTATAGTTCTTTGGAGGAACACCTGACACCTGCTCCAGCGATTAGCTTTTCTTTCCCAGGTATTTGAAAATGGAAAGAAAAGAGCAATTAGTCTTTCTATTGGTTGGACCCTTCAACAGTAAACTAAAGTTACAGTGGCAATATTCTGGAAAGCAGGAAAAGCTGGAAGGCAGATGTATGAGATAAAACAGACGTATGGAGAACAGCAGAAATGGAGAGAAAATGCTGTTTAAATTCCTATAGCTTTACAGTTTACATGGTTGCCCACTGTCTCTATAATACACTCATTGGTTTTAGCTAATATGATTTGGTTTTTATTACTTGGAACCAGAATTCTGCTTAGTATGGTAGATAAGGGTCAATTAAGAAGGCTGAGAGCAAAGAGAGAAGGATGGTCTTGCTTTGTGTGTTGAGGGAGGTTGAGGGATTTGAGGACCAGGTGCAGGAGGAGGCCAGCTGTGACCAGGGAAGTTCTGTGGTGGGAGAGGCCTCTCATAGCTCACTATCCGCACCAGACACACGCCAAGGATTTATTGGTCCCTCAGATTATCTCATTAGGTCCCCACTGCTTCCTCCCCGTTTAGAGGCGGAAAGTGAACATCAGAGAGGTTAAGCTCATGGTTACCAGGTGCTGGAAGCCAATGACGACTTGGACCCAGCTGTGCCAGACTCCAAAGGCCTGTATCATAAGTCCTCAGCTCAGGGTACATGAATGTGCTATGGCACACTCGTGGTGCTTATGAACAATGCAACCCTGCCCCCCTGCCCCGCAGAGTCCGCGTGGGGCCTGGCTAGAATATGTTGCAAAAGCTCCCCAGCGAATCAGCTGCACATTCAGTGGTGGGACCAGCTGCCTCTTCCCGTCCTTCTAGGCCAGGGAGCCCTCACCCTGGCTGTGCATCAGAATCACTGGCATGCTAGGAACAACAAAAATTCCTGGGGCCGGCCCAGGTTTACAGAAGCTGGATGTTCAAAGCTGTCCAGCCGGCCTGGGGACCCGCCTGGAGCGCTTTCGCCGCTTTGCCAGTTCAAGTTGTAAGCCCAGGGCGCTCCGCCAGGGGGCGCCGCGAGTCTCTTCCGGGCGCGGGTGAGGCAGGCGGGACGGGTGGGACGTGACCCGGAAGCCGACGGCAAGCCCCGCCCCTCGCGCCGGGGGAGCCAGGCTCCGACTGCCCGCGGAGCCTCAACCGCTTTTCGTGCCCTCTTCGCCGACGCCATGCTCCAGTTCCTGGTGAGTGGAGCCGCCGAGGAGCGCGGCCCGCAGCCTCGGGGTCGCCTCGGGCCCCTACCCGCCCCCGGGGGCTCTGGACCCCGCCGAGCCGGCTTTGACCCGAGGACCTGGGCGTGGGTCCCTCGGTCCCCGCGCCTGGCCATCGCTTCTCGGGGAGGCCTGTGGGATTTTCTTCCCGCCTCCCCCCAAATCCCTTTGCCAGTATTTTTCTCCGTAAACGTTTGAAGTGTCACAGAGGGCCTGCGTCTTCACAGCTACTTATTGTGTGCGGTGTCCTGAGCTCGTTGTGTCATCCTCGTGTCACAGCTGCCGTGTCCTTAGTGACTTTTCGTTGTCCCCCCTTCTGCGCTCCTGCCCCCGACACAGACCGTATCCCTGGCCTAGAGCGTTTTTGAGGAGGTAGAAGGGCGGGGAGGGCCAGGAGTAGACCTCAAATTAGTCAGAGGCTTAGGGAGCCCTCGTCAGGCCTCTTGTAGTTTTCAGACTTTGAGGACCGAGTCAGACACTGGTATCCAAGTAATTTTTCCCAAAATGCTTTTTATGGGGAATATGAGTATGACCATGAGTAAGCAGATTATTTCTCATGGCTCCTTGATTGAATTAAAAGAGTTTTCTGGCAAAACTCAGTATATTTCAAACATTGCCTGGCGAAGATTCCAGGAGGACTTGCCAAATTGCCAAGTGAAAGTTTTTCTACCGAATTATTGTGCTTTCAAAACTTGATACTTTCAACTTTTAATTCTAATAAGAGGCAGATATTCGAATATCTTTTAGATGGTCAGTGGCGCGCTGGTGCTCGGGGAGTGAGATACTTTTCCAAATGCTGTATTCTTTTTCTTTTTTGGGCAGCTGGCGGGTGCCAGGATGGAACCCTGGACCTTTGTGTTATCAGTACCATGCTTGAACCAGCTGAGCTAACCAGCACCGCCCCACCCCATGCTGTGTTCTTTATCAGAGATGAAAACACAAAAAGTACCTCTTCTGTTCTTTTTTTTTTTCCGTGTCCGGCAACGGATCGCAACCCTCAGTGTTGCCCCGGTACCGGACTGGGGACGGCAACGGGATTGCAACCCCTGGTGTTGCTCCCGCGCCTCGCTCAGCCAGCGAGCGGAACCGGTCTGTATGTGGGATCCGAACCCTCGGGCGGGAGCGCCGCTGCGCTTCCCAAGCGGGGCACTATCCAGTGCGCCACCAGGCCGGCCCTTTTTGAAAGATGGTAATTGATTGTTGATCCACTTAGCCAAGAGAATATCCTTGACATAAACTGCCCAAGTAAGACAGGGGCCTCTTGAAGTTTCTCCAGTGTTCTGAGAAGGTGTTAGGAATTAGGTATAATTACAGCCATTTACTTGTGGGAAACAGTTAAAAGCAGTATCAGCCCCCCAGTGTAAGATGATATAATTGAGCCTCCTACTACATCTGTTGCTCATTGATAAATTGGGAGGACATTGATTCAATTACATGTGCTGTGGCCGAATGAGTTTATTTGGTTTTGGAATAAACTTTTGCTGTGTGTAAACATGGATTCTGATTTGAGAATTCAGAATTGTTAGCATTTAAGGGGAGATGCTGTAGCCATTCACTAAGTTCCTAGCTCGGAAGTAACTAGAACACTGATGTTCTCTCTCCCTCTGGTCTCCCACCTCCTCTTTGCTTTTGTTGAAAGAAGTGGATAACAATACTTTTCTCATTGGTTTTACCTCTGTCAAATGATTCACTAACTCCATAAACTTAGGCAAGTCTTTCTGCTTTCAGTCATTTCATCTATAAAACAATGGCCATTATGTCACAGTGTTTAAGAGGCTAGAATCCAGAGTCAGACCTAGGAGTGTGAAACCTACCTCCATCATTTGCAAGCTATGGGAGCTCGAGCAGTTTATTAAATTTTCTGTACATCTGAAAATAAGAACTCACCTCACGGTTTTGTTTTGAGGATTAAAAATGAGTTAATATATTAAAGTGCTTAAAACAGTGGCACTTAAGGATTCAGGTATTGTTCAGTTTCTCTTTTGTAGGGTGTCAGCTGAACTCTGATTTAGTTTCTTCGCAGAAATGGGGATTAGCTTTCCTCAGAAGAGCAGGTGATGGAAAGGTTTGGAAGTGATGGTATGTCACAAGTTAAGCATGTGCACCATAATCACACATTTTGGAACCCTCTAGGAGAAGCACCCTTTGAAAACCACTGCGTTTGATTGTGGTGTTCGTATATTCTTTTCATTGTTCATTCCCCATCATCTATCTCAACAGCTTGTTCTCCTAATCTGCTGGACGTTTCCTCCTTTCTTTTACTTCAGTAGCTTCCTTAGTGGCAGTGTGGTTTACTAGTTACTTTCTTTTTTGTAATTTTTAATGTTTTTAATTTTTATTGATTGTACATATTCATGGGGCATAGCTACAGTTACTTTAAGGAGGCTTTGGAAGGGAAGCCTAATATGAGGGCCCTGTGGCGGGCTTTGTGCACACTGCCTGTGGTCTTGTTACTGGTGTAATTTGTTTCTTTCCTTGCCTCTTGAAGCCTGCAGCACTTGCTACTCTTAAATAACTGTGTCTTTAATTCTTCCTTCCTTGGCCTTGGGCTCTCATATTTCAGTACTTTCTAACAGTCTTTCACATTATAACACCGGAATTATTTTTTACAGAAGAATCTGCACAGAGTGAAAGGGGTGGGCTCTGGGCGCTGGCACCAGTTGGGACACTGCTCTATCTAATCTCTCCTGTTTTCACTGGCTGCGTTTCCCTGCTCTTGGTTACTGTGTGTTGCTCAAGGCTCATTTCTTGACTCTCTGCTCTTCTCTCCATACCCACCCTTAGGGAGCATGTTCCTTGTCATGCCGTCACCTTTCACCTCTGCTGACAGCTTCCAAAACTACCTCGAGTCCTTTTCTTCGAGTCATTTTCTCCAAGTTCCACTTCCCTGACATTACCTACCAACTGAACTTCTCTTGTCTTACCCTGCATCTCAGGCTCCGCATGTCTGGGTCCATTACCTCTTCCTTCCCAAGCCCTCTCCCACACCTAACTTCTTTCTTTATTCCTCTGCCCTGAATCTCTCAAATTTGAATTGTTGACATAATCTTTGATTTATTTCTCTCCTATGTTCTCCATATAATTTACCTGCTATGTAATCTTGGGCAAATTACTTAACTGCTCTGTACCTCAATTTCCCCAACATAAATTGGGCAATAATAGTACCTGCTTTATAAATTTGTGAAGAACATTAGTTAATTCATGAAAATAATTAGAATGCTACCTTGCACATAGTAAGCACTCAGTAAATGTTAGCTACTATTAAGTGTATTATATTCAAGCTATTAAGTCTTCATTACTCACCTTATGAAAAGTTCTCTGTATGTTCCCACAGCCAACCTCACAGATCTTTTTCACTCCACCTTTAGACTAGCTACACTAGCTAGCTGGTGTGGAATTGCAGGTGTCAAGTGGGAAGGGTTGTTTTAGGTGCTCTGGTCCAGCTGACAAGCTGATGCTTAAGTCAGTGCTACTAAGGGTGTCCAGTTTGTGTTCAGTCACCTCCGGTCATGACAAGCTCATTATTTACTCCCCAAATCTCTTTCATTTTTGGTCAGTGACTCCTTACCTGGTTCTACTCCTTGATGTTAAAGAGCAGTTCTCATCTGAATGAGAACCTTTTACAAATTTGAAGAGTGTTATCTTGGCACTTCTCTCTACCACCTCCCATCCCCCACCCTAATCTTTCTCCCCCGCATCTTTTCTTTACACATTTCTGCCTCTTCCACCCATTCTTCATGATTTCAAGTTTGTGCTGGTTGCACTTCTCTGAATATTCTAGTTTTTGATTCCTTTTTAAAACATGGCATTGCTCCCAAAGTAGTCTGATAGGTCTTAAGGCTGTTGCCTCTAGTTTCCCTTACTGCCCTTGCTTCTGTCTTTCCCTATTGCAGCTGCCAGAGTAATCATCCAGGATGAATTGCCTTACTCACATGCTCAGAAACTGCCAGTGGCCTCTGTGTCCTTCCAATCAAATCGTAACCCCTTTACTTGATTTTCAAGGTTTGCTAATCTCGTCCCGATTTCTTTTTCCACTGCCTTCAGCATACAGTCTTCTGTTTTAGATTAGCTAGACTGATCTCACTGATCCATGACCAACTTGTGGTCCTACTTGTGTTCATACCTTCCCACATGATTTTTCCCTTTATACTGCTTTTTGTCTTCCTAGCTTCTCTTGAGGGCCTAGCTCCCATTTTCACCATGAGGCTTCCCTGATAACTTAAGCTCCTGAAATCCTTATACTATTATATATTTACATTATTATGATCCATCTCCCCATTTATTTAGGTCTTACATGTCTTCCATCAGTGTTTTATTATCTTCTCAGTAATAGTCTTGCATCTTGTTTGTTATATTTATTTCTCGGTATTTTTAAGTTTTGTTATTGTGAGCCATGTCCCTTTCAAAGTAATTGTTGCTAATATATAGAAATGCTAATAACTTTGGTATATTGATTTTGTATCCTGCAAAATCAATATTATTTCATTTTAGGTCTTTCTCTTTTGCCTCATTACTACTCATAAGATATTTTAATATTTGAATCGGCTTCTTTGAGAACAGGCAAACCAGTTCTACCTGGTGCACCTTTTCCCAGAGTGTTACTGGCTGACTTTTTCATGGATGTCCTTTTTTAAGTTACTGGCTCAATTAAAGAATTAATAGCTTTTTAATTTCTTCATTCTCTAAGGAAGATTATTGAATATAAAAATCTAGTTTGCCTTTTTAAAATGTGCTTCTCTGTGATAGTAGTAGAAGGGATATAGATTATATCCTGTGCAGATTTTGTTTCAATGTAAAGAATGTGGGTTTTATTATTACTTGTGAACTTTATGAACTTTGATAAAGTTCTGCACACCGAGTTTAAAGACTAAGACACAGAAAAGGGTGAGTTTTTTTTCCTACCTCCTTGGAATGGAGTCTTCTGTCTGCTTCTCTAGCTGAGTCTGAAATTGAGATATAAAAGTATTAATTTA